CACTGAGTGAGGGCACCTGCCACAGCAGGAGAGGGTGTGGCCTTGAACCAAAGTCACTTTGCAGGCTTACTCTGCTAGGCAGCGAGCACATTATTGTCTGAGCCATCTTGTTGGCCCCAAGGAAGAATGTAACTTTGCTTTTGATTTTTCTGAGACAGGGTCTCATAGCCCAGGTTACTGTTAAACATGATCCTCGTGCCTCTGCTTCCCAAGTGCTAGAATTACAGGTGTACACCATGATGTCTAGCTAAGCTTTTTGTTTGTTTGTTTGTTTTATATTTGTTGGAGACAGGGTTTCTCTGTGTAGCAGTTAAAGCTGGCTTTAGCTCAGAGATCTGCCTGCCTCTGCCTCTGAGTGCTGGAACTAAAGGCATGCGCTACCACCACCGGGCTCAGCTTTTTATGTGGGTTTTGGTGATCTGATTTCAGGTCCCTAATGCTCAGGAGACAGGTGCTTTGGAGCAGCATCTCCCTGGCCCTAGGTTTTTTGTTTGTTTGTTTTTTATCATCATTATAACTTTAGCCACTTTACAGTGATTGCATAATCTTTTCTAACTAACCCTAATATGGTACAAAAAATTCCATAGAACTTTCTGGAAATTGGCCACATTTGATTTTTATTTCAATTTTTTATTTTATTTTATTTTGTGGAGGGCAGTTTCAAGACAGGGTTTCTCAGTGTAACAGTCCTGGCTGTCCTGGAACTCACTGTAGACCAGGCTGGCTTCAAATTCAGAGATCTGCCTGCCTCTGCCTCCCGAGTGCTAGGATTAAAGGCTGTGCCTCTACTACCCAGTTTATTTTAATTTTTTAAAGCTGTATTTTGGCCGGGCAGTGTTGGTGATGGTGCACACCTTTAATCCCAGCATTCAGGAGGCAGACAGATCTCCTTGAGTATTGCCTAGGGAGACAGGCTCTAGTGACATTCTGGAAGGTAGTGTTGATGACATACTGTTATCTGGTAAACTGTTTACAGTCAGTAACTGCCAACTGTCCCTGAATGCTTTTCATGGCACACCACTCTCCCACACCAGCATCATACATAGCCTGCAAATGTACCTCCAAGCCCTTCTCTTTTACTCTTCTGTGTGTGTGTGTGTGTGTGTGTGTGTGTGTGTGTGTGTGTGTGTTTGTGTTTGTGTGTGTGTGCGAGCATGTGCGCATGCACGAGGGCTCCTGCTTGCACATGTGTGCAGTCATGGGGGTGGTCCCAGGAGGTGCTCCCAGGGGCAAAGATGGAAAGGCAGAGAGTGTGCTCCTGGAGGTGCTCCCAGAACCCCAGGCAGCTTGGCTTTCGTGGTTGCAGCTTTTTGCCTTTGTTGGGGAAGCATTAGGAGATGATGTCCTCGAGCAGTAGCATCTTTCAGGGTTATTTTATATGTAATGAGTGTTTTGCTTTCATTTATATATGCTTCCTAGTATCTGTATTTTCTGTGAAGAAAGTGGGTCTCGGGAATATGTAGAAAAGGAAGAGTTGGGGACTGGAGGAGTGGTTCAACAAGTTAAGAGCACTTGTTGTTCTTGCGGAGGACCTGGGTTCAGTTCCCAGCACCCACATGGCTGCTCACAACCATCTGTAACTACACTTACAGAGGATCCAATGCCCTCTTCTGTCCTTTGCAGCTACCAGGCATGTGCACGGTGCACAGAAATACATAAAGGCAAAAGACTTATATACATAAATAAACCGAAATAAATTTTGGGTTTCAAGACACATCTTTTTCTGTATAGCTTTGGAGTCTGTCCTGGCACTCTCTCTGTAGCCCAGGCCTGGCCTCAAACTCACAGAGATCCACCTGCCTCTGCCCCCAAATGCTGGGCTTTAAAAATAAATTACGAAAGGGAGAGTTGAATAGACCTCTGTGTGGCAGTACACTGTTTAAGTCTAGCACTCGGAATGGTGCAACAGTGTGCGATTACATAACAAGACCTTGTTTTTTCGTTTTAAAGTAGCCCTATGTTGGCTCCAACAAGGGATTTGAAAGAATGTAGGGCAAGGTCCCAGTTTCATGGCCCAGCAGCACTGTCTCCATCCCAACTTCTCACTGCCTGTCTAGGGTCACATTGCTTGCAAAACTGAGCACAAACAGAACCCAAGACTTTTGATGCCAAGTCTCTAGTCTTTTCGATTTCCACTTATGTTTCAAAGTCGTCAGAGCTCTTGACCCTGGTCCCCATCACACTCAAAGAGAGTCTTCAGTGAAGATGTGTGGTGCATCTCAGAGGGTCTGATGGGCAGGGACCCTGTCCTTGCCCTGTGCAGAGTCAGTAACAGCATGTATGCCGTGACCATGTGGATTGAGTGGGGGCAGTAGCTAAGATGATATGGTCGTCAGGGTCATTCTAACATCAGAACTATTTAGGAGTCTGAAAAGGAACAGTTGCCACAGATTAGCAGGAGGCACTGAGGGGTCCTGGCAACCAGGGTCTGATATGATATTTCAAGAGCACTTGGCACCTTACTACCTTTGAGTTCCTAAATCTAGAGGGTTGGCAGCATGGGACCACCAGTGACAACTGGGCTTTCTAGTTGAGATGCCTTAAGACCTGGTAGGACCCTGGGCGCCAAGAAGTCCCCCAGTTTCATCAGAGGAAATCAAGAACCATCTAGAGTCAGATATGTTGGCATGTGCCTTTAATTTCAGCACTCAGGAAGCCAAGGCAGGCAGATCTCTGTGAGTTGCAGGCCAGCCTGGGTTACAGAGTTCCAGGACATCTAGGGCTATGTTAGAGACCTTGTCTCAAAAAAAAAAAAAAAAAAAAAAAAAGGAAACCATGTAAAGAAGCTGGAGAGATGGCTCAGCAGTCAAGAGCATTTGCTCCTCTTACAGGAATTCAGTTCCAGCTCCTATGTGGTGCTTCATCACCACTATAACTCCAGTCCCAGGAGTCTTTTGACCTCCAAGGGCTCCTGCACACACACAGTACACTCAGGCCCATGCACATAAAACTATGGAGAAAGCAAACAAGAGGTGTGTGCTTGTGCGGTGGAGATGGTGGAGTAGGGGGGGTTCTGCACTTCTGGAGGGCAGACGAAGCCTTGCTTGGGTTCAGGACAGCAGCAGGTCAGTAGGGCCTGACTGACATAGGCAGCCGGAGGCTTCTTCGTTACATTAGCATCGTTTAGTGAGCTATGCTCTGGGCCCAGTGCTTTCTGGACATCACCTCACCTACTCTTCATGACCTCCTCAGATAGGTACATTCTGGTTTTAGAAGCATTTCACGGGCAGGGACAGCAGGCACAGTCCTGTGGTTAGGTAGCAGGGCTGATCACATCTAGGCCTCAGGCTCCAAAGTCAGTGCTCTCAACCCTTGCCCATTTACAATGGTTGGTGTAGCTAGACCTTAGGAGCAGCTGTGGAGGGCAAAACGCCCAGCATGGGCTCCACAGACCTGGGTGTGGTGTTGCCAGGGTGTGCTTTACAATAGTTCTCAAATGTTTGTGACAGCTTCTTTATCTGGTAAACGCCGGGATGTCTTTCCATCGAGTGGTGACTGGGATGGATGGTGTGTTCGCAGCAGCGCTCTTCTTGTTTGAGATGGGGGGACGCTGGGGCTGGGGCTCAGTTGGTAGAGTGCCTACATAGCATGTACAAAGCATTGTTTGACCCTCAGCACCACATGAGCCAGGTGTGCTGGTGAGACCTGGAATCCCAGCCTGGGGAGGTGAAGAGGGCAGGAATACCGGCATGTTCAAGGCGATCGTTGCTATGTAGTGACTTTAAGATCAGTCTGTGCTATCAAAAAAGAAAGGAAGCAGAAAGAAAAGAAATAAAGAAGGGAGAGGGAGGGAAGGAGGAAGGGAGGGAGAGAGGGAGAGAGGGAGACTGTCAGAGTAGAAGGTGAGGTGGTGTGATAAGGGAGCGAGAAAGGACAGTGGGCTTGGGGACCAATGGCCAAGCCCCCCAGACCCTTCCATAGCACCGTGTTGTTCTGCCGATCTTCAGAGGGACAGGTGTGTGTGCGCACTTTGTTGATCTATGGAAATGTGTGTTGGGGGAGCAGGATAGAATGCAAACGAGACTCACACTCGGATGGACGTGCAGATGTGGACGAGGACAGCTGTGTAAACATGTTCTGCTCGGATACCTTAGCGATCAGCGGGCACCTGCACTACTTCCAAAGCCCTGCTTCACCGCTTACTCTTTGTCTGTAGATTCCCGATGAAATCCCAGAGTAAACAGGAGGTGGGGATGTGAACGTTAACTTTTGGCCACTGGGTAGCCAGAAGGAGCCACTGCAAGCGGGGTTCTTTCCATGGGTCTGGGAACAGTTTCCAGGAGTTGGTTCTCCCCTTCCTTTCTGGCTCCCAGAGACCGAGCTCAGCTCAGGCCGTCAGTCTTGCAGCAAGCACCTTTACCCTCCAAGACTGTAACTACACAATGTGACTGGCAGCCCCAAAGCATACATTTGTAGCTGAGGACAGACAACAGGACACTAGCCTTTCTTTTTCTTCTTTTTTTTTCTTTTTTCCGACAAAGTCTCATGTCTCTCAAGCTCAAACTGAGCTGAGGATGTCCTTGAACTTCCTACCCTGGGTACTGAGATGACAGGCATGCCCCACTACACCTGGTTCTTGCAGTGTCAGGGCTCGAACTCAGGGCTTTGTGTATACTAGGCAAACACTCTACCAATTGAAATATATTCCCAGCCTAGATTCATCTTTTAAAATTCACTCTTAGGAGAGATGATTCATAGGTTAAGAACACTTGCTGGTGTTGCAGGGGACCCAGGTTCAGTTCCCAGCACCCACATGGTCATTCCCAACTGTGTGTAACTCCAGTTTGGCCTCTTCTGGCCTCTGTGGGCACTGCACACATAATTAATTATTTAAGTGAATCTAAAATAGGTCAATTCACTCTAATGTTTTCATAAACTTATGAAGTTGTAAAACTACTCCGTCCCTGCAGTTTCTTCAAGCAACACAACATCCAGCAGCCGGGATCGGGGATCTGGCTGGTCATTTCCGTGTTCCCTGACCTCTCTCTGGTCTCTTTCAGAATGCCCAGGAGAACCATGGGCTGGCTGTACCTACCCCCTCTGTCCCAGAAGACTTTGCAGACAAAGAAGTGGGAGGTAAGAGAACTCTGATCTTGTGGTTTCTTCATCTCTTTCCATTCTCTGTGGCCCTGAACTAAAATACAAAACAAAAAAAACCAAACTATTGCCCCATTTCCCGAGCTTAAGGCAAAGTCAGAGTCCTGGGCCTTAAGCTTAGGCACTTGCCAAGAAAGACAGTGAGAACAGCAGATTGGGATATGGGGAGAGCCATGGTTGGCTAAGACTCATCTGGAAATGGGAAAGGGGAGGGACTAAAGTCGCAGCAGGATGAAGGCAGCAGCAAGACCTCTGGGGTCAGACAAATCTACCTTAGCTCTAGCTAAGCAGGACACGTGCCCTGCTTGGGGACAGCAGTGACAGTTCTGGAGGACTACATGTGTGGGGTCGATGTAGGCCACTAAGTGTTAGTGTATCCACTCACACCTGCCCAGTGACATCCTGTGTCGCTCAGAGCAAAGGTTAGGGAAGACTGCTGGGATCTCACTCACTGCTTCCCTGCCCCTCCTCCCACCTCTGCCACAAGAGATTTCCTTAATTAACCTAGGCAGGTTTTCACCCCAGGGTCTGCATCTCAACCCCCTCCTGCCATCCCTGTGCTCCAAGGTCACCTTCCACTAGGAAGGCCCCTCAGCACCCCTCCCCTGCAGATTTTATTGCTGCCTTCATCTTGGTAATGATTTACTAATGTACAGTGTTGGTTGTCTGTTTGACTGACCCCTTCATGAATAAACTTCAGGGGCTGAGCATATAGCAAGTGGCAGAGTGTATGGAGGCCAGAGGCCAACAGCACCAGCATAAACAAGGCCCTGGGTTCCATCCCTAGAGCAAAACAAACAAGAATAAGCTTTAGTGAGTAGTATCTCTGTTTGTTTTGTTTATTGCTGTTGGGACCCCCCAGATGCTCCATTCCAGGTGCCCCTTCTCCAGGTTTGCTGTTCTTTCCTAAGCATTTTGAGATGGAAACAGGAAGATAAGTGTGATGTAAAGAGGAGACTCTCCAGGTGTCCTTCTCTGTAGCCACATTGCCCTGGGAACCTTCCTTCCTTTGCACCATCCACCAGTCCAGACCCTGTTGCAGAGGTTCTAACCGATGTGACAGAATGGGTTCCCACAGACTCAGGGTCTCCCAAGACCATGAGCCAGTTGTTTGTGCAAACTGTTTCCTCCTCTTTTTCTCCTGTCCCCATCCCATCCCCACCATTTCCCACCTCTCTCTATAATCCCTGATTTGGTCCCCCCTTCCTTTTTTTTGTTGTTAATGTATGTAGTATGCATGTGTACCTGTTAGTGTGTGTGTGTGTGTGTGTGTGTGTGTGTCTGTGTCTGTGTCTGTGTCTGTGTGTAGGTGTAGGTGTGAGGAGGCCAGAAGTCAGCATCAGATGTTTTCTCTCTGTCCCTTTCCACCCTTAGTAATTGGGCAGGACCAGCTGGCCAGTGAGTTCTAGTGACTGGCCTGCCCCTGTTTCCCAGTACTCGGCTGACAGGTGTAACCCTGTCAGCTTTTAGTGGGTGCTGGGGCTCTGCAAGCCTTTACTCACTGAATCATCTCCCCAGCTCCCCTTTTTTTTCCTTTTTTGGTGGGGGGTGTCTTGGATTTGTTTGAGACAGTCTCACTATGTAGCCCAGGTTGGCCTCATGGCAATTCTCCTGCCTCAGTTTCTCAACTGTTGAGATCACAGGCATGAACCACCACACCTGGCTTCCCTGAATCACTGGGAACCACAAAGAACTTTTTACATGGGCTTACAGAATTTAGTATAAGCACCAAGGATGCTCTGGGGGCTGGAGTGGGAATCACAGTAAGAAGGGGACCACTCCTAGGTGGCATTGCTGCTTCCTTAGTCAGGGTTGGAAGAACTATTGTTTCTCTTGGCCAGCCCCTCTCCCTGTGCCAGGCACAAAGACTGGCTTTGGGTTGGAAAGATGGATCAGTGGGAAGGTGAGCCACCAAGTCTGAACCACGTTCAGTCTCCAGAACTCACCTGATAGGAGAGAACTTACTCCCATAGTTGTCCTCAAATTGCCACAGCCATGCCATGGTAACAACCCCCCCACACCCCCCCACATTAAAAAGAAAGAGACAGAGAGAAAAAGCCTTGTTAAAGGAGGGAGGGCGATGGAGACCGACTCTACTGCACATCTCTGCCTCCCTTCTTCCAGGCACCAGCTCACTAGTCAATGGCAACCTCCGACTGTACAGCTCTGTGGGCGACCTGAGGCCTGTACACTATGACCTCGA